CAGCCACAGCTTCTCTGGGCAACCTGTGCCAGGGCCTCCCCACCCTCACCCTCCCCAATATCTAAGAATCAATGTTTCTGATTTATTTTCTTTGCATGTACCTGGTCTCATCAAAGAAAGCAATCTTCAAGGCCTGGATGTCCATATCTGTGTGTGCTTTGGCCAGCACAGCCACCCCTCCACCACGGGTTACTTGAGCAGTGTTCCACACCACCACCAACTGAAACACAAAAACACGATGGAAGAGCTGCTCAAAACCTTGGCAGCAGAAGAGCTTTTCATCCAGCAGCTGCTCCAGAGCTGGGCACAAAGTATTGATAACAGAGCTGGAGCAGGGGAAATAAAACCTCTCACCCAGAGGGTTTAGGACAGTTCAACAGCTTTGCAAAGCTTCACAGCAATATCCTTGTCTACAATCCATAATTACAGGGTCTAAATCCCAGGGCTGCCTGGCAACAGGACTCAGACTTGGAAAGCAAACCCACAGAGGAGTGAGAACTCTGCCTGCTGGGATATAGGAGCTGTATCAGGGCTGAGGGAGTGGGAGGTAGCACGTGACCACTGCTCTGGCTGTCCCAGCCTCTGCTCCAATGCAGGTCTGCGTGCCCTCAGTGCCTGTCACCAGGGACAAGAGTCAAACCCTCTCCCCAAAGGAAAGGGGCAAATGGCTGAAGAAATGCAGGTGGATGCTCTGCATTCCAGAACAGCATTAAAACCAAACCCAGGATCACCTCAGAGGCTGAGATGGGCGGAGGCATCACTGTGGGAGAGGTGCTCCCTGTTCTCCCACCACCCAGCTTTCACCCCATTGATCTCCTCTCCCCAGCTGCAGCTCACCAGCTCCCACCCAGATCAGAGAACGCTGCCACATGCTGAGAAAAACATGGAGCACTGTGTGTTTTATCCTGCAATTAGCAAAGGCACAGCTAATTGCTGGTGGTTGTCAGTAAGGGATCAGTGGATGAAAACACTTCCACTGACAAAACAAACACCCAGTCCCACAAAACAAGTTTATTTTTGACCGCTCCATGTGGGATCTGCGTCATCCCCCAGCTACATTGGTGGGTGGCAGCTCCAGCACCCGGCATCCCTTCCCGCAGAGATGCTCGGTGCTGAAAGATTAAACCTCACATCTTGCCCTAAATGCTATTAAAATAAAGGGGTTTTGGCCTCCAGTCAGTGCTGAACCTCCCATTACAATGCTCGCAAGGCTTCCAGCTTGGAATGCCACCCTAACATGTGTCCCTCAGAAGGGCTGCAGAGGTGGGAATGTGGCACATGAGCCTGTGGTGATCCCTGCAGAGTGCGGGCACAGTCACATCACCCTGCTTGGGCTCCTGGCTGGGAACACACCAGGAGCACAACAGCCTCCAAAGCACAGTCCCAGCAGGTCTCTCCAGCTGCTTCTGAAAGGATTTGTTCGCTTGCAGCTGAGGAATGTGCGTGCAAACACCCACCAAGCATCAGGCAGATGGAAAGTATTTTCTAGGCAGCAAACGAGAAAGGGATCTCCCTCAAGAACATGTCTAGGAAAGCCCAGAGCAGAGGTTTGTCTGCAAAATAACTACACAGTCTGGGAGAACAGCCATCTCAGGGAACCCTCCCAACCCAAGTCTCAGGTCTCACCGTTTTGCCATGGCCGTCCCTCCCGACTCCGCACAGAACGGCTCCGCTGCGGGAAAAGCTGCAACAAGAGGAACCTTGTGAAACACAGCTCCTTGCACCCTGATTGTACTCCAGTGGGGGATAAAAGGAGACAGCAAGACCCGAGGGATAAGCTCAGGAGGGAGCTGCCAGCATATCCAGGCCAGCTGCCAGCTGGTCTAGGTGACAAACACAGGCAGCTCTAATTCATCCCTGCATGTGAGAATAGCACGGAAAAGCTGCCATACTGCAACACTTCAGCTGCCCAAACACACACCTGCACCCAGCTGAAACCCACCTGAGGGACCAGAGGGAGTGCACATGGGTTTTGAACACAGCCAGGCAGGTGCCTGTGCGGAAGTCCCAGAGGCGCCCCACGCCCCGGGGCCCGGCCTGCGCCGAGGCCAGCAAGGTGCTGCTCCCGTTGAAGGCCAGCGCTGACACCTGTGGGAAACACCATGTGAGAGGATACCGGGGGACACCTGGGGTGCAAGGACAGCGCTGCCATCAGGCTTTGGAAGGTTACACTCACCTTATCTGTGTGGCCAAGGAAGAACCTCTGCTCGCCGGTGCGGAGCTGCAGGGCGACGATGACGGCGTGGCAGGGATACACCACCGCGGCGTTGTTCTGCGTCCACAGCGCCTGCAGCACCGAGACAGGAGGCACAGGGCTCCACAAGTGCCCCAGCTCCTAGGCAGGGGTTTCTTTCCCATCCCTAGAATTGTTCAAGGCCAGGTTGGATGGGGCATGGAGCATATCTGGTCTAGTGGAAGGTGTCCCTGCCCATGGCCGGGGGTTGGAACTGAATGAGTTTTAAGATCCTTTCCCTACTATGTGAACATGAGATCCAAGGAAAATGACATTGTTGGCAGAGCCTTGAACTGACTGAACCAAAACAACCTTTTTTTTACCCTAACACAGACCGCAAGCAAGGCCCAGTGCCCCAAAGAAACAAGCCAAAACACAGCCCTTCTTTCCAAGCCTCCAACAAAGCACAGGAGTTTTAATGTGTTAAAAAGAAGCCATGAAATTTAGTGAAGAGAGAATGGAGCACAAGTCTGATACGAAGCAGCTGAGGGAGCTGGGGGGACTCAGCCTGGAGAAAAGGAGGTTCAGGGGGGACCTTCTCACTCTCTCCAACTCCCTGGCAGGAGGACGGAGACAGGTAGGGGTCGGGCTCTGCTCCCAGGGAACAAGTGACAGGGTGAGAGCAAATGGCCTCCAGCTGTGCCAGAGGAGATTTAAATGGATATTGGGAAATTTCTTCCCTGAGAGCGTTGTCCAGCCCTGGCACAACTGCCCAAGGCAGTGGTAGGGTCACCATCCCTGGAGGGACTTAGAAGATGTGTGGATGTGGCACTTGGGGACATGGGTTAGTGGTGGCCTTGGCAGTGCTGGGGGAACAGTTGGATCTGATGATCTTGGAGGGCTTTTCCATCCTATGATTCTGTCTAAAAGGCCCCATAATTTCTAATTCACCATCATAGCAGCAGAACACTCGTGCACAAACATACACTTGTCCCCATCTGCTTTGAGATCCTTTTCCACATCCAGCAATGCCACACTCAGCTGTATTTCACACCTCCTAAAAATCAATACCCCAGTCACATGATGATAGATCCACTCCCCAAACCATCTCAGCTACTGACCCATTTGGTGCTGCAGCCTCCAAAGCCAATAATCGTTCTCAGCTTCAGGATGGGATCCGGTAAGAGCCTCTGGAAAAAAACCCAGCACCATCATGCTCAGAGCTGTGCTGACGTCCTCCACCCACAGGGCACCCCCAACCCCAGTGCTCATCTGTCTCTGAACAACACAGAGGCAGCTTTGGGTCTCTCCTGTCAGAGAGGACAACTTCAAAGTATTTCAAGTCCAGCCTGGCAGGCAGGAGGAGCTGGGGTTTCCTGGTGTTAAGCAGCTCTTCCTCCCAGCCCCAAGCTGGGGGATACAGCCAGCCCTTCCCGTGGGCAGGGACACCTTCCACTCATCAGGTTGTTCCAATCTCCAACCAACCTGGTCTTGAACACTTCCAGGGCTGTTCTCTTATCCTGCAGGCTGAAACTTCCTGCTAGGACAGCACACCTGGGCCAGAGCCCTTTCTGTGCACACTCCAGGCAGATGTAAACATGCTATTGGCTTAAGGTCAGTGTGTTTGAACACAGGGTTCCTCTTTCAAGGCAAGTAAGGTACTAACAGAAAAGAGAACTGCTAGCCAGAAAAAATAACACCTTTTGAACTCTGGAGCTCCAGCCTGAACTTAGTGTTTCCTTTCTCACTTCTGGGCTCACAAGAATCAGAAACAAGCCCTGCAAAGTCACCTTGAGCTCCTCAGTGCTTCACCCACCTCCTCTGAGCCGGCGGGGACAGCTCGGGTGGCCTGTCCACCCCTCTGATGAGCGTAGACATGGATGGCTGATGGTGGCTGCCCAGTGTCCCCCACACTGTGCAGTCTCTGGTTCTCCTCTGGCACCAGGTGCCCAGCAGGCACAGCTCTCGGAGCTGTCAGGTGAACCTCAGGGATGCCTTTTGTGATTACAGGAGACCGGCGTGGCACCTGAGAATGAGGAAAGCCTCAGACAGAGCTCAGTCCTCCTCCTGGCGCCCTCCACCCGATGCTGGGCCAGAGACAGAGAGACCTCCCTTTCCTGATGACTCTTCATGGTGATACAAACAAGGATGAAACAACCTGGAGGGAGGGCAGCCCTGTGTGCACCTGGCTTGGCCAGGTGTGTTAAACAGCTGCTCTGCCTACGCTCCCAGTGTTGTCCATGCACTGTTCATCTCCTCCAGATAGAAAATCAGAGCCCCAGAAAACACTCAGCCCTCAACAGGAAGAGCTGCCCTCTCTCCACTGAGCAGAGGAGGTCTAAAGCACCCAGTCAGCCAGCTCAGCCCATCCCAGTTCATCCCAGGTCATAGAATCACAGAGTATCCTGAGTGGGAAGGGACCCACAAGGAGCATCAAGTCCATCCTGCACAGAATGCCCCAAGAACCCCACCCTGTCCCTGACAGTGTTGTCCAAACCCTCCTGGAGCTCTGACAGCCTTGGGGCTGTGCCCACTGCCCTGGGGAGCCTGTTCAGTGCCCAACCACCCTCTGGGGGAAGAACCTTTTCCTGAGATCCAACCTAAACCTGCCCTGACACAGCTCCAGCCATTCCCTTGGGTCCTGTCACTGCTCACAGGGAGAAGAGATCAGAGCTGCCCTTCCACTGCCCCTTGCGAGGAAGCTGCAGACCCTGATGAGGTCTGTGCTCCATCTCCTCTTCTCCAGGCTGAACAAACCAAGTGCCCTCAGCTGCTCCTCATATGGCTCCATTCCCCTCCAGACCCTTCACCATCTTCATGGCCATTCTTTGGACACTTTCTAATAAAGAGAAGTTGTGCTCCTCATTTTCTCCCTCTCCACAGCACAAGGATGGCTTCCCCCAGTCCCTCTCCAAACTCCCATCACCACACTGGTAAGCCAGTCTGGACACCAGCTCCCATATCAGCACCACCGGGAAGGGGGAAATCAGGAAGAGGACAGCTGCCTGCAGTCCCAGCAATCCCAACTCCATGCACTGCTCTGCTCCCCGAGGGCACCCATCACAGTCCTTAGTCTCCAGACCTCACCTCCTATTAATAATTTGAAGACAGAACTATCTGTGGTCACCAGACCATGCCAGATCAGCTGCCAACGACAACAAGCAGCTTCTACGTCTTAAAGACACAGATGCGGGGGAAGACTCCATGGCAAGCAGAAAGGAAGGAGCTGCTGCCTCCTCCGTGGTGCACTCACAGCTTTGGGACTGGTGATGTGGTGGCTGAGGGACAGGCGGTCACACACGGCCCTGGTGAGCGTCACCGGCGGGGGCTGGCGGACAGGCTCCTCCGAGGCTCCGTCACCTGGGGGACACGAGGAGCAGGGAGGGCTCTAAAGAGAACCCAGGGCACCCAGCTGGGGTGGCACAGCCCTGGCTGCTGCCCCCAGCACTCCCACCTGCTGCAGGACTGGGACAGCTCCTCTGGATGGAGTTGTACGGCAGCTTCAGCCCCTCGGATGGGAACCTGAGCAGCATCAGAGGAAGGCACTGTGTGATTAGGACTGTAACTGTATTGGCACCTGGGAGTATCACTTGGTAACTCAGGCCTGGCACAAAGACCTCTTCAGTCTCCTATAGGATTTCCCCTTTTATCCCATCCTCCTCCAAATACAGGGATACCAAAGGCAGATGGTACTAAAGGACAGAAGTGTTAACAACATCTAAATGCTGGAGCTGAGGGGACCAAAATGCCCACTTGGGCCCCAGGTTCACCTGGATCTGTCACTCCTCAAGTGGCATTACCCATCCTGCCTTCCCCCAGGGAGTGGGAAGATCTGGGAGCTGTGGTGGGACGAGGAGCAGCCATACCTGATGTAGTCATAGAGGTCATGCCACTTCTCTCCCTTGGGCACAGGGAATGCCATTTCCCTTGGCATGGGAGCGATCCCACGGCAGGCCAGGTCGGTGTGCCGGGCCTTGGAGAAGGTCACACCTGGCAGCACAGGGACAGACAGACACTGAGTTCTCCAGGCCTGTGGAGCTGGCTGAAATCACATTCCCTGTGGGACATGGGCACAAACCCCTTCCCTCTTTGAGGACAACTGAGAAACAAGGATCCCAAGCCTGAGGAACAAACTAACACACCTTTGCACAGGTGGATTCCTGAAACTCTAAACCTCCAAAGAGCCCAGAGCACAAATACTTGGATTCAAGTTATAAACCCTCAGGCCCAAGATTCACTTAGTCTCTGTTCATTGATTCAGCAGTTTAACATGATTTGTGTTAAGACTCATTTCCCATTTTCTTGTCTTCTTTTCTTCATGTATTTGTAAATACAGGAAATTCTTCAAGATATAACAAGTTTCAGGAATCTCAAAGCAGCCTCTGTAACTTCCTTCCCACTGATGCTTTCCATCGGGCCAGGCAGTTCAGGCAGAATTCCAGCACAAAAAAAGAAAGGCAGAAACAAAGGGTTTGACCAAAGTATCTCTGCCACACTGAGCAAGTGGAAAAAAAAAAGCAGGTTGGAAGATTTCTGACACAAAAAAAAAGCACAGGCTCTTCCAGCAGATAAAAGCACAGGTCTTGGAGAAGCAAGGTGTGGTGACACCTTTCTTTCTTTCTTTCCCCCTGAAAAAAATTCTAATCTTGGAAAGATATTTAACTTTGCTCTTTTTGTTCACTTCACAGCTGGAAAACGAGAGAATACTTTCCTCCAGAGGTTGAGAGACTGTATTCCATTCCAGATTGCCTTCCAGTGCATAAAAGGGCTTCAGGAGAGCTGGAGAGGGACTTTGGACAAGGTCACAGAGTGGCAAGACAAGAGGGAATGGCTTCCCACTGCCAGAGGGATGGGATATTGGGAAGAAATTCTTCCCTGTGAGAGTGGTGAGGCCCTGGAACAGGTTTCCCAGAGAAGCTGTGGTTGCCCCATCCCTGGAAGTGTCCAAGACCAGGTTGGATGGGGCTTGGAGCAACCTGGGCTGGTGGAAGGTGTCCCCGCCCACATGGAAACTTAACATCATAGTAAGTATTTTGCCCTTCCTGCCCATATCATAGAGCAACAGCAGCCCAGTGCTCTGCCAGGGCTGCAACCTCAGCTTTGAACCCCCAAGGATTTTCCCCCAGGCCGGGCTGGAGTCACAGGAGAAACCTGAGGCCACGGCGAGGTCTTGGCTCCTCACCTGGGTCGAACACCAAGTCGCTGGTGCAGAGGTTCTTCACGAGCAGGTTGGAGCAGAGCTTGACAGCCCTGAGGTGGCTGTACCGGCGGTTCAGGTACAGGGAGAGGATGGAGGGCAGGTCCAGCACCAGGCACGTCCAGCGCACATCGGCAGGGGCTGCTCCAGAGGCACCTGGGGAGGAGAGGGGCACGTGGGAATAGGGATGGGGTGAAAAGACACCACAGATGTGGATGCTGGACCTTGCAGGATGGGAGACACGAGATTCACACAGTTCAGTAAACTATTTACCGGGCAAGATTCCCACCAGGCAAGATTCCCACCAGGCCTGTGCCCAGTGGGAGATGAGAAAATATGCCTCGTAGCTTAGGGGTGGGGAAGGACAGGGAGCCCCACCATCCCCATAGGCTCATGCCTGGCCTGACACTGCACCCCCTTGCTTGGGAGAACAAGGATGGCTGACAGCCCTACCAGGAGCTACAGTTCCAAGCTTCTGCATGTGGAAGAGCTCCTGCTCAGACCCACAACTCTTACAGAATCCTGGAATGGTTTGGGTTGGGAGGGAGTTTTGAAGACCATCTTGTTCCAATCCCTTGCCACAGGCAGAGACACCTTCCACTAGACCAGGTTGGATTTCCAAGCCCCGTCTAACCTGACCTTGAACAATTCCAGGGATTGGGCAGCTACAGCTTCTCTTCACCCTCCCTAAAGGAATCAAGCCAACTTCTGAACTCGATTTATTTTCTAACAATTTATTTTGGTGGTGACGTGCCAGCCCAGCCCCGACCACACAGCTCCTCACCACGCCGGGACACAGAGTCACCCGCTGAGTCCTTGGCTGCTCCACAGACAAAGGGGAACTGCAGCCAGGTGGCTGTGGATTTGAACTCCTTGAAGAGGCTGGAGAAGGAGATGCGAACCACCTGGTTTTCCTGGGAAGAGACACCAACACACAGAGCTTTAGTCACCCTGGTGGCTTTGGCAGGGAAGTGCTGCAGAGGACAAGGCACGTGGCTGTGCCTCCCGTCCCCTCAGTGTCCCCTGTCCCCAGTAGAGATGCTGTGAGGACAGAAATCAACTCCAGCCTGGGGAAACCCACCAGCAGCAGCAACAAACATCAGCCAAGGTCTTCATCCCCCAAGACCAGCACTGCCACCCCCAGTCCTTCAATCAGTCACAGTGCTAACGAGGGTGGTTTAATGAGTCCACCCAGTGTCGAGTACCTCGGTGGTGACATCCAGGTGAACGAGGAAGTGCTTGTGGGGCAGGGGCCTGAAGAGCAGGTAGAGGTAGCGCCCCGTGAGCCCCAGTGACTGTGTCCCAGCCCGGGGCAGCTGCAGGTAACTGCTGGCAGGGTTGGAGCCCCGGATCCGGTAGATTGTTCCCTTCAGCCTCGTGTCCTTGCGAAACCAAGGAAAGCAGTGATGAAGGGTCAGCACTGCCCACCCTTGGCTGGTGCCCCCACCCCGCAGTGCCCCTGTTACCGTGAGGGCAGCCACATCCCCCTCCTTGGCAGAACGCTTCCACTCCTCCACACGGAAGTGCTTGAAGATGTTCAGGTAGGGACGCTGCCAGGCTGCTGGTACCGGCACCGGGATCAGTGGGGGGACAGAATCCACATCTGGACACCCCCTGTTACCCCGTGTACCTGGAACCCGACGTCCCAAGGTTCCCTGCCCTGGTGGCACCCCATTATCAGGGTGTCCTGAGCCACCTCAGTCCCTGGTACCTCCATGCCTCTCCATGCCCCGAGTCAGCACCAATGACACTTCCATCACCTTTGCATCTGTGACCCCCACACCCCAGTGCCATCTCTGTGCCCCAAGCATGGTGATGGACCCATTAACCCCATGCTCCAAGCACTCCCACTCCGGTGACACCCCCGGTATCTCCGTGCCCCAAGCCCCCCCATGCTGAGCCCCCCAGCCCCAGTGGCACCTGCACTATCTCCGTGTCCAGAGCCCCCCATGCCCTGAGCCCCTCAGGCCCAGTGACACTCCAGTATCTCCGTGTCCAGAGCCCCCCAGAACCCATGTTGCCTCTGCACCCGGTGACACCCCCATACTCTGAGTCCTCCATGCCCAGTGACAGTGCCCTGACTCCCCCAGCCCCAGTAATGACCCCATTGCCTCAATGCTC